TTTGACAGAAAACCACAGGGAGCCCTTAATAAGCACAGTGCCACGCTTCACTTAGAAAAACACAGCGGATTTACTTCATTCAATTCCAATTTGATAATCGCACTGATCCATATCGCAATTTTGATTTTATTTCAATTAATCCCTATGTATCATCCTGACATTTTTGACTTTATGAACCCGAAAACACATCAAACTGAATATGAATTCAGACATTATAACATGCTTATCATAGAAGAGGTGTATTCAATGTATTTTAATGCATTTTTTAACTGCGTTATGTCATAGACCAACATAACATAATAAACTGTTATGCTGCTTTTTTCAGCATCATATAAACTTCATATAATGCTGTCATAACAGTTTGTATTTGGGTAAATTATTTCAAGGACTGGACAATAAGCAATAAAAACCACCACAAAAGGGAGTATCTCTTCAGGCCAGAATGCTTTGGTTCACAGTGTCCTCCACCCCGGTGAATTATCAACGTTCCTGAGAGCAGAAATCATTCACTCACCATGACTTCTGTGTTCCTCAGAACGTTCTGGTAGCCAGCAGGATGCAGTACGATGCCGCTGGGGTTTGTGTAAACACCGTGAATATGGAGTACGCTCAGTCTTCTCTTCTCCTGAGCCCACTCCAGAACCTGCACACACAAGCACACAGCGGCATTTCATACTCCACTGCTCCCAATCCGGCTCCCACTAGGAGCGTCCAGCTGCTTTTAATGACCGCGGGTTCTAATCAAGAGGCATTTGATGGAAAAGGTGCACAAACACCCTGCCTAAAGGCCACGCTATGGAAAACCACACACGGCCTGATGAATAAAGACACAGGGAACTGAACATGCAGTCACTTGTGTTTCCGAGGGCCCTTCAGGTGAGCTGCTGTAGAGCTTACATGCACTAATGCACTACATGACGCTTGGCCTGAGACCATAAGGCTGATTTTATGGCTAATAGCTGAAGCTTTCGCTGCTTTGTGCTGAAGGAAATTTATGGCCAAAAGCAAACAGAGATGAACCCAGTGCACTGAACATCCGAGGAACAGCGTTTTCAAAGCACACTTTGTTTTTAGTTTGCACTGAAAGCAACTGATGATCTAACGATGGGTATTTTTGTACAAGTCCCCATAGTCTCTTCAGATATTTTTATCTGTTATTTATAAGTGACTTTTATCAGACATAATGCAATTCAATCATAGACTAAATAATCGTGTGCTATATGACATCACATTGCTGATGGACATTCAGGTCCCGATGACCTGCCAACAAACATTACAATTTTGAAGTGTTTTATATTGATATGTTTATATGTTTTATATTGATATGGAATGAATTCTGAAGAAGACTGGAGTAATGATGCAGAAAATTCAGCTTTGCATCACAGG